TGCACAACACATTATCCAGACATAATTCCCAAAATACAATTATAGTCTCAAATACTCGCTCAATGTGGTTGCAGAGGATCATCTGTATTAAAGTTACTTTCCTAAATAACTCTACTTAATGTTCTGCAAAATTCTAGTAATTTATTATAGTAAGAAAGTACGTCAGTCACCCATGATGCAAAGCTGCCGTTGAAACAGCATTCTTACAAAAGCTTGATGGACCAATCATCTGTGATGCGCACATTGGGCTTGCGGACGGTTAATACAGACGGGCCCTTCCCTCCTCCAAGTAAGAGTGGGCCCAATTCAACGTCTGTCTTCTCATCTGTTGGTTCAACGAGTGCATTTCTAGGTGCAGGAGATAGACCTAAAACAATTATTCTATCAATAGTGCAATCTGAGGCAAATTTGTTGCTGTTAGCTGTTGAGGGGCCCATCCTTGAAGAAGTAAGCTTCCTGTCTGAGAATGTAAAACGACGGTGGATGTATGCGCCTTCTTTAAATTCAAAGCTCTTCCCATCATCTACATAAAGCTCGCCTTCGGCAGCCATGGAGCTGTTGAGTGCGATAACCTGCAATTGCAAAAAGCAACAGGAATTAGTAATTTGTACATCTTTATCGGGTGCAGATTGATATTCACTGTACATCAACTGGGGAACTCGGCAACGAGTGCAAACTAAAAGAAGGCAGTGCAATCCAAGTATAAAATGAAATCCGAATTCCTAAACATTTTTTTTTTTTTCACAATGTGATCGTTTACAACGGGAAAAGATACTTGCTAGTAGACCTATGAAGCATGAAAACATATGCATATCAACAACGTACCCAGATAGATTAAAAATCATTGAAAATGGGCTTCCATTACCCACAATAACCACTGTTTTATCCTATAGTTAATCTTAATTGACTACTAGATGGACAAAATAAATACACACGATAATCTAAATTTGGCATTAGTCTAAGAAATGTGAAAGAATATTAAGATCTTGTCCTTCAACTATGTTTACCAACTACAAAATGTTGGGCAAATTTAGTTGGAATATTTGCAAGCATTTATGCAATGAAATGACATGTATGCAAGACATTTTCCACGCTGCATGTCAAAACAACTGCACATTAAGAAAAGATCAACCAGAGAACATCTGCAAGAGATCTACTGGAGATAGTAAGAAGTACCAGAGTATAAGGATCATTTTCCATTTGTGTTGAGCTTCGTCTAAATCTGTCTTTCCTTGGTATGATGGTACCAGCACGTAGGAAAGAAGGTACGCCGTCCTCTAAAGCCTCCAGTTTATGAGTTTTTCCTCCCTCATAAGCAGTTCCAGTTTTCATGTCATACCAAGATTGATCCCCAGGAAGATACACTGACACGTGTTTAGCTCGCTATTCGAAATTTCAAAAAAATCAAAGTAAGAATGGAAATGATTGACGAAAGATGAGAGATAAAATATAAAACTGGACGTAACGAACATCACCTCTGTGTATATCCCTTGTACCAAAAGACTGTTCCCGACCATAAATGCCTCATCATTGCTAAATGTATTCTCATCAGAAGGAAATTCCATCCAAAGTGGACGAGCAACAGGGATACCCGTGACATTTGCCTCTCTGAATAATGTGTAGAAGTACGGGAGTAGCATGTATCTTACATGTATGGCTTCCCTCATGAGTTGCATATTTCGTTCTCTGTAACAAAAGCAAACCCCCATAAACCCAATGTGAAACACAAAAATGACATTAATGGCAAATGAGAAAACAAGGAGAAGATAAAACATTTTCTAGCCATAGGAAAAATTGCAATGGTTTTTACATGAACAAGCAGGACAAGGAATGTGGAGAAAGAAAAGGCAATACATTGTAGCATAAAAGAATACTGCTGCTTCAAGCGCTGTCTGGAAATTTTAAGATAAGACTTCTTGGACGCTTAAGTATTACTTTGTTTAGTTCACATGAATTCATATAAATCAATTAACCAACAGTGCAAAAGATTTAAAGTTCTTGGTGGACTGTGCAATTGGCTTTGGACTTCCCCAGTCTTACAGAAAAATAAACTGATGGTGATTGGTGAAGGACTGTTCAAATCTCTCCATAAAAGCATGAAAATGCATAACCCCAATCTGGGCTGAAAGAGCCACTAGAATAAACCATAAATTCTCCCTCTCATAATAGTATGAAATTTTTTCGAAGTGCAGAAAATATTGGTGGGTACTACAATATATGCTGACATACATATATTTACATTTAAAGCACTCAATCTCAGACAACATAACTCCAATTTGCAACACTGTCCTCAGAGTGTGAGAAGAGTAGTAGATTTCATGCACTTTGGATACTAACCTTATCAGTTATGATTAAGTTTTGAGGGAAGACCCTTGAATCACCTTGCAAGAAGTCTCATACATAAAGTTGTTTGGCACAACCTACTATGCACAACATCCCCATCCCCACCCTTGACCACAGTTCGACAATGTTCCTTTGATAGCTAATGCTTTACATTACAGTGGTAGCTGGACGAATCTAAAAATAATTTAACTGTCTTTTGATACATAGCAGAAAATGTTCCATTGCTAAAAGTAAGTTTTCTAACAAATTGTTTCATTACTTTCAAGAGTGAGCAGATAGACATTGTCCTTCTCCTAAAACTCTTCCCTAAGCAATTAACTCAATATAACAGATGAGTAAAATGGAATGTCCAGATTCTTCTCTGTTTTTATTGCACGGAAAATGAGCTCTGACCCCACCTTTCAACAGTCTCTTTTCAGAACCCTCTTCAAAATACACACTGAAGAAGCTTCGCAAAAACCTAATCGTTAGACACCATCTCAAAAAACACACCACTAGTCCAGTAATTTAGACACAGCATATGAACTTTAATATCAAATTGTATTAGTAAATGGTCTTTTTTTTTCTTTGTAGTTCCATTTTTTTTTATCTCATTATTGGTGTCATATTATAATTATTCTCATATCTTATTTCAACTATTGAAGTCATACGTTATATAGCAGCATCTTTAGTTATAACACAACTGTATGAGTAGAGAAAACTAGAGTTCTTCACTTCATTTTCCTTTCTCCTTATTCACGCCGCAATCAAATAAATGTTGTCTGTCCTTTTCTCCCTCATATTCATATGAAAAATAATCCTTCAAGTCTCTAATATGGCATCATTTGCCCAGAGGTTCGCATTATCACTATTCATAATGTTTGTTTATTTGTGGCAATTAGCTAATTTTAATTATTTCCTTCCAAGGAACTGCCTTGTAACCTTTATATAAAGAGGATTTATTTTTTCAATAATGAGAGTCACAAACTAAATGAAAAAGAAAAAGAAAAAGGAGAAATAAAACTTGCTTCCACCATGTTCTTTTCTTAGTCCCAAATCTCTGCCATATTTCATTTTTTTGCCTCACCAAAGCTCTTTGACACGAACTTTTGCAAAATAACATAACAACTTGTTGGCCTTGATATGAGCCACATTGTGTTTTATCAGAATCTACAGGCTAATGATAATTATTTAACCTACTCCACAAGATCAATTTTGCAATTATTGATACTTAAAACATGCAGATGTAAAGTAAAAGGATCTTAATATACGAATCAAGTGAGAAATGAATAGTCGTAGAGAAGCAGTAATTTGGATGCACATAATAAGGCCTTTAATATGCTCTGCCTCTGCATGGTTATAAGTGCTAAAGTCGTAAAGTAATAAAACCAAATAACCTTCACTCACAAGTCACAGCAAACAATATCTAATTTCAAAGGCGAAAAGACCATGTCATTACCCAAATAACCAGGGTTCACGCCTTTTGGTATCATGATGAGCATGCCCCCTGAAGAAGGGATAATAAGCACCCAACTGATACCACCGAACCAACAACTCAGTATCAGGGTTACCAAAAAATCCACCAACATCAGCACCTACAAAGTAGATATATAAGATGACCGAGAACACAAAGAACAAAATAACAAGAAGTAGCATATCAGATGACAACAAAATCAGCTCACCGGAAAATGATATCCCTGTAAGACCAAGTGACAAAACCATCGGAACAGAAACCCTTAAATGTTCCCATTCAGCAGTGTTGTCTCCAGTCCAGACTGCTCCATACCTTTGGGTTCCAGGGAAAAAGGCTCTTGACAAAACAAAAGGTCGCTCTTTGCCTTCACCACGCTTGACAAGTCCATCGGCAGTAGCCATGTGGAAATAGTAGCCATAGGCATTGTGCAACTCTCTGTGCTCAACATCCCCATAGTGTAAAGCATCTCTTGGCATTGAAACCTGATCAAAAGTAACACGCGTTGATAACATGAGGGTCCAGGATTAAGTAGAACAAAAAATCTCAGGACAAAATAAAATACTCCAACGTTATATACTTCAATATGGAAACTCTAAGCTCTAACAGAATCTCCAATTCTACAGCAATGGGAAACAATCAGATACCCTAGAAAGTTAAGTTAGCTGCCAAAACTTGTATGTATCAGCGCAAATCAGTTATTTCAGTACATAAACGGAGCACTCCATGACTGCCTGCAACTTGGCCTTGAAGTAATCACTATTCAATCTTCGAAGAATTATCCAGTCTACGGAAATGGCTTAGACTTCATTCCTTCTTAAATACATCTAACTAAGTCAAAAGGTTTTGAATAACAAACTAGGATTCTTTTTGTATTTATATGAATATAAATTGAGAATGTGACATACACAAAGTAACCTTTATCTTCTCAAGTTATCTACAACTCATACGTCATATAATATATTGTTTTAGTTATATAGGACACTCAGTTCATTATTTTTTATATGTGTGAAAATGCGTAATGAAATTCATGAAATCTGGAAGTTGAGAATGTGATATCGGAAGATGGTAAGGATGTGTGTTGTACTGAGAGCAGTTTATTGGAATTCCTTCTTGGACCAAACACTATTGAACACTTCAGAAACGTTGCGGGCAAATGGCAATTGACAACAGAAAAATGGTGTTTGAGTCATGGTCGGTAAAACAAGATAGAAAATCATGGCAATCATAGACACCAACCAGTACTTGGAGAGAAATACGAGGATAACAGCGGTCTGTAACATAATGCCTAAATTATGCTGTCCACATTGTCTGACAGGTCACCACATTCCCAAGGCCACCTAAAGTCAGATGTCTTTGAATGCTGAATCCATGTGTGAGATATTAGAGTATTATGCTTTTACAAAATCATTAATATTCTTGTTGAAACTTACGTGTTTACATAGTTGTTCCTTCTCAATGTAAAGTAGTGCTGTGTTCTTACTTGTTTCATTCACTAGAGCGTAACTCATGGTTCAATTAACCACAATGGCTTAGCCTAGTGGTATAGAAGCTTCTTCCGGAAGGTAGAGGTTGGGGTCCGAATCCCTTTGGATGTCTGAGTTGTAAGCCATTTTTTTTTTTAAAAAAGAAAAAAGAAACTTATGATTCAGTTACGTTTTCTTAAGATATAGTTTAATATTATTTAAGCACCGGTTTCACAAGTTGGAAGCAGAGACACTCTGACCACAGTCCACAGGGTAGTTCTTAACACTTCATGACCATTACCCCCAGGTCTGTAATCAACAACCTAAGAAATTATATTTTCTGTAACGCTACAAAAGCACAAGGATATTGTCAGCCTTCCTCAGCTCTGTATGTGAGCATTATCCAAGCGAACTGGACCTCACACAAGTATTAGTCAGACTTAGTAGTTAACAAACTACCACCACAAATATTACAGTATTATTGACCAGAATTTTTCACGCAAAGAGATGAAACCATTTGACTATTGATTAACCATAAAAAGGAAAAAGTCAATCAAGGGTATAAGCAAGAGCGAACAAGATATCCAGAATCAAAGGATTACCTCAGGGCCATTGAACACGGAAGGTTCATTCATGTCGTTCCAAATATGCAATGATGGGGTTGAACCAACATAGTTATCGTATGAGAATTTCTCAGCCCACCAAGACCTAATCTCCGGATTCACCATATCCAGATATGATGAGGATCCAGGCCAGCACCATCCATCAAAGTCCTTCCCAGTCGAATCCTTCACATAATATCCTTTACTGGTAGCCTCCTTATGTATGTAATATGACTCGTCTCGCTTGATGTGAGGATCCACTATAGTCACCATGTGCCTCCCTTTCCCAGCTAACTTTTTCTGCATATCATCCGGGTTAGGAAACAGCACACGGTCCCATGTAAAATACTTCTTCCCGTCTGTATGCTCAATGTCAAGCCACAGAACATCGTAAGGGATGTCATGCTCGTCAAATTTGGAGTCGACGTTGTAAACATCCTCCTCGTCTCTATAATTCCATCTGCACTGGTGGTAAGCCGTGGCAAAATGCTGTGGCAAGGCTGATGTCCCAGTCACGCTTGTGTACTGCCTGACCACGTCCTTTGGGCCCGGCCCAATGAAGAAGAAAGCATCCACCACACCTGCCTCACTCATCCACAAGGTGTCGATCCTCTTCTGATCAGATGGCAGCCTCAAGACGGAAGAGGTGTTATCATTCCACCCTGGCCCAAGAACATCGATCTGCATCTCAGCCGCATTCAGCCAGAAAAAGCCCGAACTACCGCGCGATTTCCCATGTGAGATCATGAAAGGGATGGATCCGTACAGCCCAAAAGGAGAATCATGAACGTACTCGAATACATCGAGGTTGAAGAGTCTGTATGGCTCTGAATCTTCGACCCCGGGCCCCTTGGTGGGCTTCAAGGCTAAACTAGTGGCGTGTTCCGGGATTCCGTACAGGAAATCAGCCTCGTAAAAGGACACGTCAAAGCTAATGCTCTGAGGACCGTGAGGCCGAGAGTCGGTGTGGCTTCTGAACCTCTCCTCCCAATCTTCATTTTCCTCTTTTTTCTCCCTCAACTGTTCGAAATCAAACAACCCATTTGAGTTCAACGACAGAATCTTCTTCGAATTTTTACCAGTCTCTCTAACATAAACCTCAAACGGCCCACGCCTAATCACGGCTTCGTACCCGTCAGAGAGATAAACGACTGATAAAAACCCTTCCTCATTTTCTTCCTCCTTCAGCCTCTGTAGCCAGAGCTTTTTGTTTGAAAACTCGGGCACAATCACATCAGGCACCTCGAATCTTTTCTTACGCGGACCTAAACTTTGGTCCTCGTCGATCTTCACCCTCATTATGCCGTCCTGATAGGCTGATATTGTGAGGAGAAGCGGCTTTGTGAGCTTTTCCCCACTTCCCATATTTTCATCGGTTTCTTCCTTTGGGATGAGTTTCGCCACAAGATCGCCATCGGAGATAGAGACATCAATGGCTACCAAAGAGCAAGAGCCCGGTTTGCGAGATCGGGCCCGTTTGCAGAATGGGGTCTGATTGCAGTCCCTAAACTCTTCTTTTTTCCAAGAAAAAACACTGTTTATGATGAGGAGAAAAAGCAGAAAAGTCAAAACAAATTTTCCCATCGCCAACAATGGAGATACAGATTGCTACTCAGTGTGTTAGAAAATCATGAGCTAACAATAATTTCTGTAGGAGTTTTGATTTGATATACAGAAAGAAGGGCAAAAAGTGAATTGAGAACTGGGGACGCAAGCAAAGAGTTGAATCCAAAGAACGAGATTTAAAAAAAAAAAAAATGTAATATTATTATTGTATTTTTATTTTCTTTTACTAGATGACTTACATTAGTGCTATTGCCGTGTGCCTTGGCACACCTAGTAAGGTGTGCCAAACATGTTTACATATGTTCATTTTATAAAGTAACATGTTCATTTTAAAAAAAACTTTAGCACACCTTGTTAGGTGTGCCTTGTATTTGCGCTTACGTTGTGCCCAACACACGGGACCCATCCTTTCATTTTTTTTTTGTTTTTTTTTTTTGTTTTTTTTACAAAACGATAGGAAAACTCTACATAATAACAAACAAAATAAAAGGGTACATCATCTAAACTAGTATTCGACCTGTGCATTTGCACAAATATAAATAAAGTATTGTGAGTTATTTGTATGCATATAATAATTAATTTTTTTTTTCTTTCACCTTTTTGCTGGCAAAATTTACAATTAAAGGAGTTGGAATACCATTTTTCTTAATTGCGTTTATCTGATTGGATGTAACGTATATTTTGGTACGTCTTTTTTTTTGAATTATTTATTATTTATTTAATAATTTCAAATACGTTTTTATTTTAATAATAATAATAATTTAAATTTAACCACAATTATAACATGTAATCACATTATACGGTAAACACATTATATGGTCAACTGTTAATAATCAAAAGTTTAAAATGATTTTTGTAGTTTTGAAGTGATTAGTGTTGATTATTTAATAATTAAATAAAAGATTAAATACATCAAAAGTAACAGTTTTTTGAGGGAAAAAGGTTAAATTGCCAAATAGGTAAAATTAAATAGGTTTTATTAAATGC